TGATGATGTTCTCAGTAAAATTAGTTTCTTTGCTTGTTATCTCTTCATTATTCTCATTCCCTTCTACAATAGTTAAACATAGACTCTCATCTGATGCTTGTGCCATCACTAACTCTCTGAGAGAAAGACTTTATGTAAACTATGATCACATGATAAAACACATTGAATGTGTTATTGTCCACTTTCACAATTAGTCACTCATGACGTGACAGACCGACAGTGTAGTAAAAGCATTTTTAGCTTATCAGTAACTTGTTTTGATTTATTGGGTGACCTCTTCCTACTTTATCAAAACAACTACATGTTGTATATTTGCAAATGTAAATGTGGGACTGTCCATGGTAATATCTTTATATCCCATTACTGAGTTGTATCAAATGTCAATGGTGTATAGTACCATTGGAATGAAGTGTGAGTAATTATGCTAGTAGGAGTGCATTCATTACATAGTGACATTTGAGATTTTTATTATTTAATATGTAAGTAGCTGCTAAGTAAGATTTAATATATGTAATAACTTATATCAATCATTGCAATTTTTAGTGTTTTTGTTAGTCTTTTTCTGTTGTTAGTTCATCTTTTTTTCTTTCACGGAACTCTTTTTCTTCTGTATTACTTACTGTCCTCTGGTAAGACCTTTCAGCAATTCCATATCCAACCAAAGAGCCTACGGTAATGCCAATCGGTATGCCAACAACTGGTAATGTAAGACCTCCAACTGCTCCTCCAATCGTTCCACTCAAATAGATTGCCATATCTTGTGACTGTCGCTCCATTCGTTGAGCGCTTTGAAAATGCAGAGCTCTTGTGCTGCAGTGATCCATTATTGTTTCTATCCAGTTATCGGTGAGAGGTAGTTTGAGGTGCCTTTTATTCCCGGCGACACACACTGGCATATTCATGATTATTTCTTCAGGCACGTTGTATCTTTTCAGGCGCAATTGAAACTTTATGCCCCAATCTCTCATACGTATATTCATTTTCAATTTTAGAACTTCCTCTGGGCTAATGTCGCTCCTTCTATCGTCTTCGCCCTCCTCTTCATCGCTCTCATCATTTTCAGGATTATACAAATTTGCTTGTGTGAGTACTAAGATGCAGTTCTTCCATATTGTGTAATCATTCTTGAAATATTTTGCTAGAAGCTCTGCAAAACGCTCAACTGAATCATCAAATTTCTCTGTAAATCGCTGGCATATAAGGACTGTGAGTCGATCACCACACTGTTTCATCTTCTGTTTAAAGCTATTCATCAGCTCTTTATTCTTTAGCTTTGGGTCTCCCAGCCCTCTTGTATCATAGAACACCACTGGTGTACCATAGACAGGGCCAATGTGCTCTTCTATTGTATCATGATTGCTAGGGTGGATGCTGTCTGGTGTTTTGGCTACTTTCTTACCCAGCATTGAATTGATGAGTGTTGACTTACCCACTCCTGTCTTACCAACTACCATTATTGTCAATTGGGATATTGATTGCTCTCCACTTGCTCTATCTTGTTGTACAGCTGTCTTCTCCTTTTCTACTCTTCCTGCCTCTCTATGCAGTGTCTCTTTCATCTTAGGTTCTTCTTCTATTGATGGCTGAACTTCAGCATGTATCTCTTCCATTTCCATTTCAAATTTATTTGTAGATGGTTTCTTTATCTGGACTCCGTCATTTCCTTTTCCAATCTCTTCAATATTTTCATTACCGTGTACTGTTAATAAGACCAAGCTGCTTAGACTCTCTTCTCCTTCCATAGCAGATAGCTGTATTGCTGCTAATTAAATTAGGTGGATGTTGTAATGCATACAAGAAGGTGTAACTCTTCATTTTTTGCTATACACTATCTGAGATAGTACAATGTACCTTGCTATTACTCTACTCTTTACTACACTTGCTCTTATTAAGTTATTAATGGCTAGTTTACTTAGCATTGTCTGAAAAAATCTTGTTTTACTTGGTATCTCTTCGTTATTCTCATTCCCTTCTACAGTGCTTAATCAGCCATCACTAACTCTCTGAGAGAATGACTTTATATAAACTATAATCTGTTTTTGGCAAGTACTATTAACTCTAAATCATTTAGCTGTGTAATACATTTTTAATTTTATGATGCTGCAAATTTAGCAATATCTATTCTAGTAAGCACTGCAAATTTTTTGCTT